TCATTTGCTCTTATAAATTTCATTTTTAAAAAATGTAGTCACAGTTGAAGAAGTTTGCATTCAAATAAGGTAAGAAGTATTTCATTGATTACTGTAGAATGAGGCTTATGTTATCAAGTATTAGAAAGTAAAATGGAGGTTACATTTGCTTCCCAGTCTGCATTGCTTGTCTTTTTGGAGTGAGAAACAGAAAATGGAGGTTGTATGTCACCTTGGAAAGTGAGGAGACACGATGTGCACACTGAAAACATACATGCTTAACCTAAAGCAAGCCTTGATATGAATATGATATGGTTATAACAGCATTTGAATGTTAATTATATGTAACAGCTTTCTCTTTTGTCTGACATCTTTGTCCTGAACTTGGTTTCAGCTCTGACTCATGATGCTCTCCTAGCCCACAGTGTGGTAGTATTCTTTAGTGCCTGTGGCTCATTGGAAAACCTCAGTAAAAGATAAACTTCCACTTCTTTCTCAATTTGTTCTTTCCAGAAGAGAAGGAAATAATGGGAAAGAGTCACTATTTAGGTCCTATTATATGTAATAAATCTTTAGGAAGATAGCAGCTTTTCTTAGAAATAACTAGGCAAAGATTCCAAATGCTGAGAAAAACCATCATATTCTTTAGGAGGTGAATTGCTATTTTGGAACTATAGATTGTTTAAGCAATAGCAAGCTATTGGACATCAGTATTTCTTGCATTTTTCTTGCAATAGCCTAATAAAGAAAAAAGACAAGAGAAACATGAAAGTAGAGCGGCTTCAAATACTTTTTTTTTTCTTCCTCTGAATAGAGTATGGTGAAGAGATTGTGAGATGCACAAAGCCATTGGGTTTTCAGCTGTTGCTGTTGGAGAGATGAAAGCACTTGGCCCAAGAGTCTGTTTATATGTTTGAACAGAGAAAGTGATTTTATTGCAAGAAGCTCTGAGTGAGACAGGCAGAGTCAGAGAATAAGGGAGCAAAAGATAATTATCTAAATTATGTTCAGGCTATTATAGAAGACGAATATAGTTAAAATGTAATTAAATATGACAGGCTCACAGGATGCAAGCATGGCTTTGGAATGCTAATCACCAATTACTGCATCTCCTTAGGGGAGTTGGGTAGAAGAAGAGAGTTAAAAGTCGGGTGGCTGAGGTGAGATGTAGAGTGTTAAATAAAACACTGTAGGACTGTAACAAGGCTAATTTCTTTTGGAAAATGGAGCTGTGGTATCGGGGGACATTTGCTAGCCAAATAACTTGTAGTGCTGCATTTCAGCTTGAGGACCCTGGTATAAATCTGAGTAGGCTGCTAGTCCTGAGTCTTCTCTTATAGGTGTAAACCTCAGCTTGAGATAGTGATTATTTCTGTTGTGAAAGTGATGACCTGAACTGCTGCAGATTGAGCCAGCAAATCTAAAATAAATCAACTAGCGAGACAGGTGTTGAAGCAGAAAATAAATCGACACTGCCTGAATATTTAATAAAGCTAAACCCCCAAAAATGTATTTGTTAGAGGGTCACTAATAAGGACTACAGAGATACAAAAAGTACCAAGACAGCAGTGTCATTTTATGAGAGAAGTAAATTCTGCTAGCTTCTTTATGACTGTGTCCTAGGTAAAGACAGTGAAAGTATTGCCACCAGTTTGGAAGATTTGTTTGTTTGGCATATGGGGAGTAAAGGTGAAGAAATGCCATCTATTACACAGAACTATCTAATCCCAGGCTAAAAATGAGGTGCTTTTGATATGCTTTAAATGCTGCTGTTCCTGGAATACAGTGACTTATATGTGAATCAATGGCAGAGTTATGTATAAAGTTTGGAGGAAATTTTTGTAAAGACCATCAAAGCGATTTTGAGAATAGAAAGAGTAGCTCTTGTGAGGAAAATATAATGTGAGCACATATGCATGGCAGGACTAGACAAATGGTGTAACTACAAAGTAATTTGCAAAACAGAACTTCTACAAAGAAGCTGAATATTACCAGCAGAGATAACTAGTAGTAAAAAAAGGAAGGTTGAAAAGAAACTTAAGGCTTACCCACGATGTCCTTAATCAAGGAACACCATTGAACAATTTTTATGGCCTGACAGATAAATAGAGGTCTTAGTGAATTTGTTATATCAGCAAAAAATGCAAAAAGAGGTCAGATATGCCTTGATAATGTTCTGTCAGTAATCTCTTTTCTCATATGGGTATAGTTACATGCATAAATTATCTCTTTGATGCATAATTATATCTGTACTGGAGAGCTATTGCTTTGCATATATTGATGTTCTCAAATGTACTGTTGCAGCCAAATCCATGAAACTTTCTAGTGAAGAAGGTTTGCCTTGCTTATTTCAAAAGTGATTCTTCACAAATCCATGTGGCTTGTTTTCTATTTTGCTTTTTTTTTCTTTTTGCTAAGGAAATAAACTAGAGCCCTAATTTTCTCATTATACAATCAAGTACTAATTCTCTAGTGGCACTATTCTTGAATTTTAAAATAACTCTTCTACAAATAGTCTATAATTTTGATTTTCCAATGGGAAAGGAACAAAATGGACACATAGCAAAACAGTACATATTTTTGGGACTGAATTTATTAAAAACCCTATCTCCCTTCAGGTCTCACATCCTCAAGAAATGTTTTTACTCTTTTCCATCATGTTTTAATATTATTAAAGAGGTAATTATAATCCAAAACTAAGAATAGCATTGTAGCAGAAAGTAAGGGCTTCTAAGGAAGTGGGATGTGGGAGAACTTGAGAACTTCCTGGATGAGCTGACCTGGAAGTTTGTTGTCAAAATGATCTTCAGAGACCTTTCTCTCAAACCCTCTTAGCATCTGTCATGCTCTTCAGCTCTGTTTCCAAATAGATGCATCAGCTTTCTTGTTATCACATCATAGGACAGACAATGGCATTAACTGCCATCCTTGGAAAATCTGCACTGAGCTCTTGCAGTGTTTGTTTAACTGGTGCTCAGAAATAGTAGAAATAAATAGAAGAGCCACTTCTATTCTATTCTATGATCCCTAATTAATATAGTTTCTTGTCACGAAACACAAACTCTGCCTTAGTGTCTGGGAAGACATAGGCTGTTCTTAATAACTTCTTTAGGATTTTATACTCTTTTATTTCAAATAGCTTTAAAATATTTTCATAATCACTAAAAAGGGAAATCTGATTTTTACAGCATCGTTCTCCTTGCATAAAGTGTGTGTAAATGTGAAAGCTTATGCATAATGGAAACTATGGCATTGCTTTTTTGTGAGAAGTAGTGTTGTGATCATCTTATTGTCCCAGCCTCTCATCTTTGGGACTTTGTACTTCAAAGGTAACAAGTTCTATTTGGCCATGGGGATTAACTGACTGGCTGTACTGGAGTAATGTGAGAAGGAAATTCAATAATTACTCTCCTATTTAGGGGGGAAAATGTTTAAATCATAACAGTCTTTCACATCTTGGGACAGTCAACAAAGTAGTCCATTCTCCTTTTTTTGTATTTTATTTAGAGCGTGAAGAAACAGCCTGAGCTTTAAATTAAGGGTATAACCACACAAGGGATATAAATAAACCCTGTTGTTAGATAGATAACTGCTGTACTACTGAGAGCTGCCAGAGACCACACCTTTCTGTTATCATGAGTAACTCTAATTACACCCATTACATCATATGGTAAGACCAGTAAACTACTTGAAATTAGGTCTCAATTGGGCTCATAATCTTCTTTAGACAAATATAACCGGACAGCAGTGATAGAAGTAATAGCAGGCTAAATTAATCCCAGAAATGCAATGTTTGTGACAAAGGGTTTTTCCTACTAAGGGAAAAATCAAATGTGTGACAAATAGTCAGCAACCAAGCTGTTGATACTGCCAGGCTTTGGGGTAGTCTTTTGGTGGTGAGTAGTATTTTATTCCAGTTTTGCTTTGGTCCCTTTTTCTTGTATGAACACTTTTAAAGGTATTCTGAACCCATGCTGGAAAACCATCCAATGTTTTCCTTCTGTAGTGAGTTAATCACGTTAGACTTAACTTCATTTTATTTCTGAAACATCTGTGATAGAGTCTGTTTCAACTAAAAAGTTAAATTATGTATCTCATTTTCATGTTTTATGAATGTAAAATAATTTAAATTTAAATGTGTTCAAGTACTAATCTAGTATAGTGGAAGACTGGTATCAAACCGAAACCTTTATTCCCTGGTATTCTTTTTATTTCTTCTGTTTTACTGTCAGTGTGTTCTATAAGCACAAAGGTATGTAGGAAGTTGTGTCCTTTTCCTGCTGTGTATTTGGTTACTCGAGGTGCTGCACCTCACCGAGATCAGAAGAGCATGAATGAGGAAAAAAGATCATGCTGGTCCTACTGTACCTGTAGTGTTCTCAGTCTAGCCCAAAAATTTATATGCCAACTTTGGAGTGGTGGTCTGTTCTCCTCACTGCCTCTGTGTCAGGACGGGGAAATCTTCACAACCTGACCTGTAAAGAATGCTCTATGTCGCTTATAGTTTTCTAGAAGGACCTTGGCCCACACAAAGAAAGCTTGACTCCTCTGCCTCTACTGCTCCACTTAGAATGAGACGAGTTCATCTGAGGTTTTGGGTGGTTTGTTTTGTTGGGGTTTTTTTTCTCTCAATCTGCAATTTTCTTTAACCAAGCTCTGAGTAGGTAACAGGAGAATGCATTCACTTTTATTTATCTGACCTTTTGTTTATCTAATACAGTCAATATTAGATAAGGATTTTAGACTTTGATCCAGGCTTCTTTTCTTTCACTATCTCCTTAACTTTCAACAATAGTATGATTACTGTTCCTGCACACAAATTATAGTGGTATAAGGTATGCATGAAATCACATAAGCAGAGCCAAGACACTTAAACATGAGGAAGGAAGTGCTGGAAATTCAGGCAATGGAAAGTGTTTCTCTCTTTGCCCTTTTAAGTGACAATAGTACTTACTGTCACTTGAATGCATTCTTTGTGACTGTGTTCAGTATTTATATGTCTTTCTGGATTTTCTTTGTAGATCCTGGCAAACAATCACTTTTGATAAACAACCTGCATCTTTTATCAGAATAGTTGGAACTCGCAACACAGCTAACGAGGTAAGGAACTTTTAAGAAAACCTACATTCTTCGTGAATACACAACAGTACAGATTTCCATATCTTGCACTGAAATTGCTAAGGTCTTCTCAAATGTACATGCCTAATTTTTTTAGTTGAGTGTTTGAACAATGTCATTGTTTCTGGTTTTGACCTTTCCACACTGCCGTCAAACATTCCTACTGGGTTTGGTTTTAAATTAATCCTTATTTGATAAATGATGAAAATACCATTTGAGTACACTAGAAAGGTGTATGGTCTCTGATTACTTGGGTTTTATCACCTTTATATTATCTCTTTAATTAATAAAAATTAAGAAAAATCCCTCTTTTTTTAAGAAAATCCTATTTGCCTAAGATTTGCTTATAGTTAATTTTCATACCTGTTAAATCAGTTGACTAATAGTGGCCAAACCAAGAAATATTGTTAATTTTATATAGCAAAAATTATTGTGCCTTAACCAACCAAGTGCAGTGTCATCCTCTATTTACTTGTGCTTCTGTCTTTCGTAATCGTTGTGCATTGTCTCAGTTGAAGTCCAGATTTTACACTTGACTTCAATGGAACAATTTACAGTATGTGAATTTAATAATACATGTAAGTCTTTGTGAGATTAGGGCTTTGTATGACAAGACTGTAAGAGGCACCAAACGCTGCTGCTTCTGTGTATACACATGCATGTCTACATCCCACATGTGTAGTTCACCGCCAAGCATTGTATTTCCACGCTTTACAGTGAACTTGGGTTAGCACTATTATATTTGGATTAGTTAGAATTTGTCAACTGCGTATTGACAGTCTTGTTTCCTCTCATGCCAGCATTTGTAAGTTGTCAACTCTTTGTCAAAAAAGAATGAGGTGCACTGAGTGAACCTAGCAAACCAACCTACACTTCCAACTTTTAGTTCTTAAAGGTAGCTTTAAGCCCCGAAGAGTAATGGGCTTTTAACTGTAATTCCAGTTTCAAATTGGTTACTGTTTTCAAGAATTTTAATATCCTGCGTAATTTATTTATATAGACCACTGCCTAACTCTAATGAAGAACAGTATGTGTAAATTGAGGTTACAGCTACTGATGTAGTGGTGCAGTGGAATTATAAACACATGCTGCTGTTCTTGGTTTTTTCCTCTTTTGTTTTTAAAATCTGTACCCAACACTAATTTTGTTTGGGTTTTTTTTTATTATTGTTTTTAATTTCTCCTAAATCCTGTAGAGTAGGAACATAATTGGTGTGCACATATTACTAAATTACTTTTATATATCTATCTATATATATTAAACAGATGGTCTGTAACATTTTGGCATAAATTTTAATTTTCCAGACAAGGAAGCAAGATATTTTTCATAGTTCTGATTTAAATAATATCAGTGTCACTGAAGTCTTGGTTTGTTCTGGAGTCTGTAGTCTCAGTAGTCTCTTCAGTAAGAATACCAGCAGTTTCCATAATTATTTACCCACAGCTGGTTGTATATTATGTCAAACCAGTCTCACATTAAATAAAATGTACTAATGGCAGCATATTTTTATCAAGGAGTATTATTGTAATAGCTACAAAAATACTCCTTGCCTGTTGTACCAACACATACCTTTGAACTTTGAAGCACAATCTGTACTTCCCCAAGGGAAGAGTTGACTTTTGGACTTGCAAAAAAATCCCATAAAATTTCTCCACTTTGTGAATTATTTAATCTTTTAAACTCATTTTTACCTTTGCCATGTTTTCCAGGTTTTGGAAGACGTGATGTTCAGTGATTTTTGACCTGATATTTGAATTTATTTTTGTATATTAGAACAAGATAGAATTGTAACTATGGGTTTTTTTCTTGAGCTCCCAGACATGCTATTTTGTAGAGAAAAGGATTACTTTTCCTTAGTCCTCGTCTTCATTTATTTGTCAGACAGGTCACCTGATACTTTATGTAAGTTTACCTTGTTATTCCTCTTCAGTATTACTGACCTGGAAAGGACACCTAGTTGCTGATGTGAGAGCTTTATCTTACAAATTACTGCACCAGTGTATATGTACTTGGCCTTCCTTCTTTATATGTCTGACCTTTCTTAAAATATCCATGAGAAGTAGAACTGATGTGGGTCAGAGGATGATGCTGAACTGTCATCATTTTCTTTTGAGAGAAACACATGCAGGATTCTTTATTTTAGTAATAAGGTTCTGAAACACTTAATTCCCATACCAGGTGAAGCAGTTGAGCTCACTTGTGCTTCTCAATCTTATGCTTCTCTCACACACTGTGTTCTTTACATTTTGAGGTGGCAGAGTAACTGAGAAGAATGTTCTAAATTCACAGACTTGGTAATGTGCCAGATGTTTTGAGCATTAAGAATTTAGTATGAAAGAGTCAGTAAAAATTGAAGTTAGAATGTAAGGATCAGGTACTTCTGACTTTCTAGATTAGTATTAGATAAATTTGAGTGTTATCCACACTATATTTAAAAAATCTGCATCACTGTATTAAGTGAGGTTTTAAATGATGAACACTATTGTTGTGGGATACAGTAGAAATATGGAATCTTCTGATTTGAAGACCTTTATCCTGTTCATTAGACTGTGCTGCCTTTCAAGGAAAGCAGCATCTTACAGAGGTGAGAGAATGTTCTTCTCTGCAAGGCCTTATCCTGCTAAGTGCAGCTGGAAAAATGAGAATAGCTGTTACTTTAAAAACATGGGAGCGAGATGAGTAGAAAAGGGGCTTCTCGAGAGTGTAACTAAATACAAAAATCGGCTTCTCAAGAAGTGTAACAGATGGAGAGAATTCATACCACTGTGGGAATTAGTTCAGCTTTAGAAAAAAAACTCACCAGAAGAAACGCAGAGAAAAACCATTTTGTGCACATGCGTCTGTGTGTGGCTATGGGTGTGGATTTGTAATCTGTTCGTAAGTGTATATATTATAAAGGCATAGCAATGCATGTGAGCATGTACATAAATATAGAAATATAAGCATGCATCACCATGTATCTGTGAAAAGAACTGCAAGAATTCTTACACTGAGAGGCACAAGAAAATATAATGGGGATTAAAAAAAACCCCAGTGACTGTGAATATTTTTTTATTCATTTCATGTATGCTGTCAGAATTGGAATTAACTAGCTACATCCTCAGAAAAAGACCTGGGGCTATTGCAGACATGTCAACGCAGATGTCTGCTCAATGTGCACTTGAGCAGGGATGGTCAAAAAGAATAATAGGATTTTAGGTTGTATTGAAGAAAGGATAGAAAATATAATACTGTGTAGTCTTGTATGAATATGTAGTATGTCCATGTCTTGTTTATGGTATTTGATTTTGCCCACATTAACTTGAAAGGGTCTGGGAAAGGGCAGTTAAGATTATAAGAGATTATCTTCGTGAGAAGAGCTTTAAAAACATGATCTGCTCTCAACAAGAATAATAAAAGATGTCATGAAAGCATACAAAGTTAAGACAAGGCAATAATTTTAAAATTCAGGTTTTAATATTCATGAAGGTTTAGCTTTAAAACAATAAGACATGAGAAAATAGCAAATTTTTAAACACTATAAGAAAAGATTTATATGCAATTCATAGCAATGAGAAATCATATGCAAAGAAGTTTTGTAACAATTTTAAAGAGTTCCTCCCCCTTCTCCTCCCAGGCACTTCAAGAACAAGAAGTAAGTAGAAGTAAGAGTAAATAAAGTAGAAAATAAAATGGAAAAAAATGCTTAAACAGATGGTCCTCTAAGATACAGTCACCTGTACACTGGTCCCAGATATTGTTTGAAACATCAGTAAATGATCACTGTTTGAGATGGAATATTTCATCTGATGAAGCAGCAGCCTCCGTGGACACTCTGAATGCCTTTCTACATACTCCAGGACATGTCTGTAGAGCTACCATTGCTGTTACAGCAGAGGGCAATCTTGAAATAAAATCATGTTGGTAATGATTTAAATTTCATTTCTAGTGTATGTGAACGTTCAGCCTGTTGAGGAAGTAATTATATCGTAAGATACGTTTAAGACAGTTTAATTGTTGTTGTCATCTGATAGCATGTAGTAGATATTACTGCTACTTGGCAAGGAAAGGAATAATTTACAAATGTCTGTATCGGCTTTTGAAACATTTTTCTTATCTTTAGTGCCATATGTAAAGGTTGGTATAATCTGAAGGCCTTCTTTTGCTCCACTGGTTCCTTTTCTAAAGTTTATTGCCCATGGATAAATGTTCTTGACCTCATGGCAAAACTTCTATTCTGACTAATTACTTTGTCACTGATCTGGCCTGCATACTTCCATAAAGACTTCATCTTACTTTGATCATGCTTTTGCCAGCATTAAATTGTTTTGCTTTATCATCATTTTTTTGTTCTCTCCAGGTGTTTCACTGTGTGCATTTTGAGTGCCCAGCCCAAAACAGTACCCACAAGGACGAGAGTAGTAAGGAAGTATCATCAGCAGAGGTGGGCACTGGTGGACAATAGCTTGTTTCTCACCCTGTTCGAGCTGCAAGCACTAGTCCCCTGCATTCCCCTCCTGGATCCATCTCGCGTTCCCATGCTCACCAACAATAAAGAAGGTTGAAAGGGAGCTTTTTGCAGCCTTGCTGGCATTCTGTGAAATTAATCAGAACCTTCTTGTGCTGGCACCTTTTCTTTCTTTGTGAATGAAGGGGGCCATGTCTGAGCGCTGGAAATGTTGAAATGGAAAAGGCTTTTCCTGAGGACATGAAGAGACTGCTTCACTCTGCTCCACTTGTTCAAATCAGGCTGGTCTCCAAAGGGTGAGAAAATAGGTCTTCAATCTTCATCAAGTACCCCATTAACACCCTACCTCTCTAATCTAACCAAGGCAAGGAAAACAGAAGGAAATAAAGGGCAGAGCTACAGTGGAAATCTAAAATTACTGGAGCAGAATGGAAGGCATATGAAATAAGTATTTGTTCCCTGGAGGTTTTCATTAGCAAAAAAAAATATTTATGGAACACATCAGTCCAGAATATATGTTATTTTTAAAAGTGATTCTTCATTCATATTCCTTTGTAACTAGTAATCTGTTTTCTAAATAATTTTGACCCTATATTCCACTTTGTTTCTTATTTTTGGCTGTAGTAAATGCTGTACAGTAGATTAAGGAAGTATCAGACATGTTTACCTGCTGAGATGCAAATTCCCTCATTCATCAGTGGGATGACAAGAAAAGCATTCATGATATCAACAAACTAATTAATGTATCTATATTAATCTTGACCTTAGTTGACTTTTCAAAGTACAAAATTGTCATTTCTTACGCTCAGAAAGGAAATTCCAAAATCAAACATCCATCTTGAAGAAAATGATATTTTTTCACTCCTGAAGATGATTAAATTTTGCCTGCATTTCTAAGACAACTTGCAACAGGTCATCAAAAATGTTTGATTTAGAAATGCATCTGGTCACTGACAAGCAGTCGTTCAAATACAGAAAGAAGATTTTGCAGATAACTTACATTTTTCCAAGAAGAATTGTTTTACAGTCTGGAGCTAAAAATTCACAGGCTGTGTGTGCATTAACATTTCTCACGATCCTCACAAAATATGATGCTTTTGCACTGTATTGTAAAAGATCTGGTTCTTACTTTACAGTCACAGAATTCATTATCCATCCATGTCTGTCTGGATTGCATTGCCTGCTACTTCACTTATTCTGTTTTCACACTGATGATGATGCAGTCTCTTACTCTCTAGGCCTGCATGACTTTTAGGAAGAACTCCATGTTGGTCCTTCAGTATGAGATAAAGAGATTTTGTTTTAAGACAAATGCTGATGTAATTGGCAAAATTGATTAGGAGGACTGTTACTCCTCACAAAGTATATTATATTGGAAATGTCAGCTAACCAGTTTTATGAACTTGGAATTTCCTAGGGTGATAAATAGCCTTGTCAGAAGAAAACAAAGCTAGTGCAGGATAAATATGGTTTTCCTTTGCATAATTAGAGTGGTAAAATGAGTTATATCAACATAGCAAATTGTATGTTAATTTATCACACTACTTAGTTTGAAATAATTTCCCTATTGCATACTAGTTGTGCTAAACCCAAGAAGAAATATAATCAGTGGTAGCAGTGAATCAGAGAATACTTTGAATAAAAAAAAATCCTTTCTTCTTTCAAATAAAATTGATTAGGCTTTATCAATAATATTATAGCATTTTTCACTGCCAAATTACAGTTTAGTTCTGACATTCGCATACAGTCCTCTCCCTTGCCACTGCTATCTTCTGACCTGTGAATGCCTGTTGGTGAAGATGGATGCCCATTGTGCTGTATAAAGCTTCTAATGTATGTGCCACAGCTGCCTCAGACAGTCTGGAGTTCTGGGACAGGATTCTGCTTGTGACAGTCACCTCCTAGTCTGTGGGACTGATTACCTTATGGCTTAGCAGCCTTTGGAGCATGAAAGAATTGAGACCAGCTGCTGGGGACAGCCACTCTCTTGTTTAAGTATAGGTTCAAAAAGTTGATTTTTTTTTTTCCCTTTGAAAAGTAAAAACAGAAAACTTTTCCAGTTGTAATCCATGCTGGAGCTACCGAGATGCATGGAGTGTGTCTTGCCTTTGGTAGATACAAATCCTTCCATGTCAGTGATGGTATTTCTTCGCAGTTTGATCAAACAAGTCTGGTTTTGTCAAACTGGAGCAAAGGGCATAACTTCCTTGCTGTTAGTATTTAGTAGTCACTCTTGTAGAGAATGTTAAAAAAAAAAAATTAGGAAAAGGTTGTGCCAGCTGTTCTGAGTCTAGGTTCCCAGAGAAAGAATGGCATTTTTCCATTTGCAATCTTTGATGTGCACAATTAATTTTTATGATACAAAATTGATTTTTATGATCTTGTAGACTATAACCTACTGAACATCTTTTTGGTCTTGTCCTGTGACTCATTGTGGAACAGAAATGTTTCTTTTTTTCCCATGATATTCACTCTCTGCCAAGAATATAAATGAATTTATCAGGTTCCCAGAGCAAAAACTCCAAGGTCCTGTAGACCCTTCGTTTTCTCACCCCCATAAATGAATAAAAACCCAACAACTTTTCATTGTCTCTTCCTGCAGGTATTAGTACTAGACTTACTCACAATGGCCCTTCTCAGAGTCTTTATTTCATATAGAGTTACTCTTAGAACCTGTCACCAAGGTGAGCCCTGTGAGCTCCCTGGGTTTTAAGGCAAGCCCTGCCTCAGCTTCGCATTTTCAACCCTTTCCCCTTTTTAATTAAAGAAATAATGTTTCAGAGAGCTAAACTCTGCTTGATCTTCTAATATTACCCACCAACAAACACCCCTAATACCTGTATTGCCTAGAAGAGGTCTCTTGTCTTAAACGTGTCAGCAAAGTATTACTAGTGACAGAGGAAGACACCATGCAGAATTGATTTGCTGATTTGGTGTGAATGTTTGCATTCTTTCTAGATTATTGTCTGTATTTATTGACTCCCAATTTCAAATGCACTTCCTGTATAGTCGTCTGAAGTTTCTTTTTCTTTTCTTTTTTACCTTTGTTTTACCTTTCAGTGAAAGTAAATTGTGCTGTTATGGCTTAGTATCAGGGTTTGTATCAGAGGGATGAAATACTGTAGTTATTCAGAACTGTGCAATCACTCATGTTTTATTTGCAACAAGAGTAGAGCAGAACTGACCAGGTATTCATTGCTTTCTCACCAGAAACTATGAAACAGACCTGCTTTTAGATTTCTACATACTGGAACTAACTATATTGTCATTATTGAACCATTAATTCTATTTGGTACGTTAGTATCTTTAAGTTCCCCAGGCCTCATTTTCTCAGTTTTGATTCCATGGGTTGAATTCAGACTTAGATTTAACTCATGTGGAGCTCAACAAAGGCCTTCCTAAAATCCTTTTATTTACTTAACTTTTCCCAAATGCAAATAAAAGGGGTTTTTTGTTCACAGAAATGTAGGGGGAAATTATTATCTGGGAAAATGAATTTTTTAAGCGAGCCAAAATTGTTCAGCTGTTTTCAAGCTCTTTCCAATCAGCTCTAAAATAAGGTCAAACAGCTTGTTAAATGGAATTACAATGAGAGAGATTAACCCAAGTCTAACGTAAAAGACAATACAGAGGAGACATAACCAATTTTCTTAGAGTAGGAACTCTTTTTCATTGCAGTTTCCTTCCTTTAGAGCTCCCTTTCTTTCTTTTTTTTCCCCATGAAAATCAGTTTTTCTTGTTTATTATGACAACTCATGTAGGAGCTCAGTGCTTCTCAGCTTTGCTGAAAAATTCAATTTAATGCATTTTCATCTTTACTAATGATAACATTAGAGAATTTTCAGTTGAGTATCTGACTTGATGAGAGTTGGTTTCCATGAAAGAAAGCAAAAGATGTCTGTAATCGTTCCAGTTTAATTAAATTTTCAGTACAAAAATTAGAAGACAAAGTTAATGCCATTCTTGTCTGATTGTTGTGTGTTCATAGTTCTGGTAATAAAGTGATGCCCGTTCAGAGACACTCAGAAGGAATTAGAACTTAGATTTGATTTCACATGCTATACATTGCATTTCTCTATTAAGATATTAATTGGCTTATATTTTGACAGGTGTTAGTATACTGTCAGATAAGCAAGTGAATTCATTGGTAATTTTGTTGTTGTGGCTAGAGTAGTGAGCAAATAATCAGAGCCAGTAAGAATTAATATATTTAAGAGTAAACGTTCAGGCTTGTGTGTCATGATATTAGTTGCCAGAGGACTAAACCATGCTTCAGAAATAATAGTTTTTAGATCCTAGAGGATGCCTGAGGCCTGGTTCTCATCCCAGTTTCTCAGTTAATGGTCTGTTTAGGTTAGAATCATTAGTTCTCTCTGAACTGGTGGTTGTTGTTGTCAGTTGTACTAATTAACTTAGATATATAGAAGCTCCACAAAGCTTTGTTCAGGAAACAGAAATAAAAGTTGTAGGTCAGGTTTTAGGAGTACCTAAATATTCGTATTTGTATGCACACACATATATATGTTAAATTGAGCGAGTAGCTAATTATGTGACTTGAATTTAGAACAGGTTCTAAAGCTCCAAAACTAAACACAAACAAACAAACAAACAAATAAAATGTCCGTGCAGGCATGTGTGAAGTGCTGCTCTTGTGGTATGGCAGGATGGTGACTATGTTAGGGTTGCTTAAGAAGTGCAAATGTCCAAACAAGGTATGGGGTGAGCAGGTCCAAAGGGCTTTGTTGCCCAGTTATTAAGTACTGGCATTTTGGCTGAGGTGTATAAAACACAGAGCAAGTTAAATGCTAATTTCAGTGACAGGGCTGCAGTCCACAGAACACACATATTCCTCCAAGCTACCTTGTCTGCTATGGCTTGCAGTGTTTACAGAGTGAGCCTTCATATAACTTCTGTTAACTGCTCAAAAAGGCACTGCAGTCTTTTTGGCCCTTCCCAAGCTTTCACTGCAAAGCCTTAGCTGAGGTAATGGCAAAGTCCCACTCATATTCCATGATAGAATCTGGGTCTGTGTTTGATTGCTTACTGTGAAAAGTTTTAAAGCCACGGTGAGGAAACTACAGGTATCTGTCATTACCAATAGACTGACTGCCAGTACAGCTAATACCGATTTTATCATACTGTATGTGTTTCATTACTATGATACATACAAATGGGGGAGCTGAAGAATCAGCTCCTTCCACCCTTGGCATTAGACATTATCACCAACCAGTCATTAGAGAATTATTTCTCTTACTGTTCCTTCCAGCCTAGTAAAATAATATAGTTCAGTGTTCCAGAAAAATTGATAACTGATTCCTTACATAACCGTAATGGAATTGAAGTTCAGATTACTAAAAGCTTGAATGAGTGGTGGCATCACTGCACAGGTGTAAACACGCCTCTGCAGTGCCTCCTACTACTTCTAGGCCCTGGGCTGTAATAGAGGACAAAAGCTGCACTATTGGTAAAATGAACTTTTACTCATCTTTTTGTATTTAGCATCTTGGCACATCTGTTATCTTTGTGCAGATGCTTGGTTAAAACAAGGTAATGTAGTTTCTCATGATCTTCTGAATTATCCAGTGACCCCTGAGAGCTGGCAGATATACATAAACAACTTCAGTCTATATTAATTGGTCTGAGGAATTTACAAAACAAACCTATATGATCTATGCCAAATTCTGTGTCCAAAAAGTACAGCTGACTCCTGAAATATCAAGTAAGGTCCATAGTATAACTGTGAGATGTGTCTGAGCTATGTGCCAGTGAACAGTAGTTATCACAACTTCTTTTCAGTAGAGGAAGCAGGGAATCACAGAATGATTCAGATTGGAAGGGACCTTAAAGATCATCGAGTTCCAACTTCCCTGCCGTGGGCAGAGACACTTTTCACTAGACCAGGTTGCTCAGAACCCCATTCAACCTGGCTTTGAACACCTTCAGGGTTGGGGCATCCACAGCTTCTCTGAGCAACCTGTTCCAGTGTCTCACCACCCTCACAGTAAAGAAGTTCTTCTTTGGATCTGTTTCAGGAATTATGTCCCTTATTCATTTTGAGACGTAAATACATAAGTGAATGTTTTAATGCAATAATACAGCATTCATGGGATGTAGATGATTAGATTTAAAAATGTCACTTAAAGCAAGAGCTGGTGTTGCAAGGAGCAGTTTGAGGGAGAGACTGGTATGGAATTGTATAGTTGCATCTGTGCATATATAGCAAAGAAAATGTATGCGTTACCCAAGTTGAAGTGACTGTTTGCAAAGGTGTGTTTCTGTGTGACCTTTCTTTTTTAATTTGGGAAATTTTGTTAAGGAATCTCACTCACCTGAATGTGAGCAATAAAAGAGAACGTAGGGAGTGAGGCTTTAGTAGTTTTTAAGGGAAGAACAACCCAAAGATATGATTCTTGTGGTCTGAGCTAGTTCTGTTTGTCTCCAGTCTTCTCAGTGGTTATTTTTCCTACGTGTTTCCCCCAATCTGCTAGTTACTCCTTCTCTTTTCCTCCCTACCTAGCATTGTATCACTGGTGTTCCCTGCAGCTTTCCTCCATATTGTGGTATATTAAGGAATTTTAAAACTTTCTTTGTTTTTCCTCTTTGTCATATGCTGAATAAAATATCCTCATCCCCATTCATTCACATCAGACTTTAAAGGCAACTGCAACTAGGCTGTCAAGTGCTAGTGAGCAACATTTAAATTTGGCTGTCTATGGATATGCAAAATACTAACCTTTTTGGACCTTGTACTTCCATAATCTATTTACAGTCTGTTACCCTTAAGAGGAAAATCAGTAAGGAGTTTACTGTTGACTTAAGAAGTAGGTCAGGTTTTGTGCTGGCTAATCTAAATTACACTTAAATATAAATGTAAGTATTTCTTTCTCACCCTGATGCACCAGATATGTTCTCAATTTGTTAGTTATGCATTGTTTAATGCATTGATTGTACATAAATGTTCTTTTCTAAATAAACTGCATCATCAAAAGTGAATCTCGAAAGAATTCGTAACTTTTCAGTGTCCCTGTGTGAAGGTATTTCGGCTGTCAGATATCAAAATGTCGCGCTGAGCACATGGATTCATTTTGTGAAGTTCAGTTCTACTTCCCAATTTGGACCCTATGTCTATTAACCTTGTCCAATCTCTTGTAAAATTTCCTTTCTGCTTTGCTCAATTTCATTGTTGTTGGTGGTTTTTTGTTTTTGTTTTTTTGTAGTGAATGTTAATGATCAGAGCCAGGCTAAATAGAAGTTCAGCTTTTAGTGAACTTTTTCACTTATTTCTGTGTTTAGCTCCTCTTTCCTGGCAGACAGTAGTCTAAATCTGTTTTACACTTTGTTACACTCCCCTTCTTTGTAGCAATTGTATCTTGAAATATTTGTGCATTAAATCCCTTTCCTTCTTTCTCATAGAGTGGTTCTAAACTACCTCAGACCTTGTTGTGAACAGGTACGAGTTGCAGCTGTAATTTTTAGAATTTATCATAGTCTTTGAATGTTCTTTAAGTGCATGTGTATGTAGCGAAATCAGCCTGCCAGACCATGATTGCATTTTCAGGAATACTGTCCCAGGTGAGACGTAACTGGGATGAGTTCACAGCCACATCCAGTCAGGCTCTCTCCGATACCTCTTTCAAGAAAAGCTTTTTCAGAAGCGCAACTTCTGGTATGGGAAGTGCGTTTAACTTTCTCTTTGAAGGGACATGATGCTGCCTGCACTGGACTACTTTCACCTCTCCGTTGCCATGACAACCACCATAAAACTGCATCGTCAGCCCTCCCTTCCTGGCTGTGAGCAGGAGCTGTGCTGTTGCACTGGACAGTGCTCATCATATGAGAATAAACCCCACAAGGTGTGTTCTGATGGCCTTGGTATCGTTTTATACTGCAGTGGATGTGCATTACCAACCCTTTGGGCTAATTAGGTTTCAGGTAAAATGATGGTTGCAGATTGTGCTGCAGTTGATCCATTTGATAACTTTGGGAATTGTCTGGTTTTGTAAGTTATCCATTGTACAAGCTGGCAAACCTAGTTAGTACTGATTTTCTTTTCACCAGCAGACATGGACATCATCAAACAAGCATTTTGTAACATGGAATTTTCTATGAGCATCCAGAAAAGAAGCATCCCAGTTGTTTCTTTAGTAGCAACATATGTATTTGTAATGGAAGTTTTAGAATTACTAAACTGCTGTAAGCTATTTTGTGCATGCTCTGGTATTGTATTAACAGTTTGTATTAACAGCTGATAAGCAGAGGGCTCTGGAGAGCAAGGAATGCTGACTGTGGATTTCTTTTTCAAGAGTTTCAAAGAACAGCAAAACTTGACGGAGTGGATGCAGGACCAGACAATGCTCAAAGCAAATCATAAAGTGAAACTGTTGTGCTTTGTATTTATTTCTTTGGAGATTCTTCTTCAAAGTATTTAACTTCACAGGAAAATATAGAGTATATTTAAAATAGTGACAATTAGAAATACACCTTTTCAAGAATGAGAGGGGTGTGATTTGAAAAATAAAGTGATCTTTTGTGCTTAACTCCTTGTCTGTAGTTTTGTTAAAATAAGGGTAGAGCCTGTCTGATGCTGCTCACATATTGCATGTGTGAATAGAAGAGTTTTGGCAGAACTGTACTGAATTCTTGTCATGGCAAAGAAGTAAATAACGTCATCACTGATATGTTAACTCATAATGACAGTCTTAATATCAACATAGAAAATGCCGGAGATTTTCGCAGTGACTTTCAGGCCAGTGGGCATCCACGAAACTACAGCGAACGTTGAGAACAGCAGCTGTGGGGTGTTGCTGCCAGGATGTGCTGCTGTACACTCTGGATGAAGCAGATGAATATTTCACTTCATTTCACGAAAAAAGTGGGCAAATATTTTGAGACTTGGGATGCTGTTTTCAAACAAGCCGAAAAAAGGCTTGATTTTTCAGAGGATTTAGCACTTGATTTCATCAGACTACCATGAAATGCGGGAGCACTGAATGTTTGATTCAGAATACTAGGCCTTTATCTTCCTTTATCTTATCAGCCTCACATATTGAACAGAATTTTTGTAAGCCTTGCCCAGATTTCAGAACTTCATGCCCTAAAGCAGTGGCTGTTCTCCAGTAACAACACTACATTTCTCTATAATGTAATCTTTTAAGCATTTGTGTGTCATGCTATTCCCTCCATGAATGTATATACCCTTTGTTACCTAGAAAGTGGAGAGGTCAAACTCAAAAAAAGAAGTATGATACCAGGTTGAAAAATCAAGCTGAGGTACCAGCGAAAACCATACAATGCTATAGTATAATTGGATTTAATGTCTTTTGTGTGTCGATTTGTTATACAATAGTTAATACATTTGACAGTTATAATTAGATTTTAAGAAGAAAAGTGAGATTTTTTTAAGTGTCAGATCCTGCTGTTCATTTTAAAAAGGAGATGTGTGGATTTTGAAGCATAAGCTGCCACTCACCTCACTTACTATATTGTGACACAACATGTGGGAATACTGAGGCGAGGAAGCCTTACTTTTGAAATTGTATTTGCATAACAGGGCACGGGCTCAAAGTAAGACAGAAAGCGGTATAATCCGGTCAATGAGAAGAAGCGCATGCTGAAGCCATTCCCAGGCCATGTGTCCAAGTGGAAAAGAGAGTCAAAGATTTTTTGCTCTGTCTTGACAAATCAGAGGCCTCTTGAGGCCTTTGGGAAATTTTCATTGTGGCCTTCACGAAGAATTTTGATTGTGTTCAAGATAACGCAATTCGTAGCAAGTGCTGGATATATTATACTAGAAGAAAAAACACAGTAAAACATAGCAAGGAGAAAAAGGAGTTGGATGAGAGCAAAGCTAAGAAGTAATATTCTTTCTTCTTGCTCTGGTCCAGTTTATCTTCGGGCTTAGGCTTGTAAAATCATCAGTAGGTAGGGCTTATGAAGGGAGTGCAGACTGAAGTGGAAATACAGCTGCCTTTCCAAACAGCAGTAGGGTGCAGTCAGTTTGGGTGGTACAGCCTGAAGATTTATTTCAAAGTTGTTTCTAATTCTGTGATGGGCTTACTAGTAATGAGCATTGACAGTTGAAGCTTAAAACACCCTGACACATCAGTGGAGCATGAATTGTAAAGACAAGATACAGACCAAATCACAATCATTTTATCATCACAATACAAAGAAAAATGCACATAAACAGGACACCTGTTATTTACTCATTTTGTATTTACCCTCTATTAACTACTGCTTAAATATCCTTGTAGGCTGTGTTAATTAAATTAAACATCCTGGAAAGTAGGCAATTGTTGCCTACTTATAGCTCAAGGCAAAAAAAAATTAATTGTATAAGATCTTTTTTGAGTCTCTGTATTTCTGTGATTTCTCATTCTTTTTCCCTTTTTCTCCCCCAGTAATGTGCTGACCTTCTGTAGCTGGAAAAGTGTGTGGGTTTTGCTTCAAAAGCATCAGCAGAACCAAGGTGTGTAGGTAAAAGCATGTTCCATTTCGTAAGAATAGATGCATCACAAAAATATCCCTTGTTGCAGCTGAGTCATTGGGAAGTTACCTGGGCCTAGTCTGTGCAGTGCCAACTTTAGTCCCATTTATGAATGACTGTTCTTTGTCATCTGCTTTTTAAGGTGGTAAACATCAACTTGAAGGTTGATGTTTACATTGCTAAGCTTTTTTTCTTGAAGACTGCGTGACTGAGAGAAAGTAAAATATTCACAAGTCTTCACCCCCCTCAGCAACAAACTGACTGCTGCCCAGGCTCCCCTGTGGCTTGCAGAGGGGCCATGGGTTGGTTGTTACCAGTGTGTTTGTGGAAACAAATTTGTGACTCTGTTTGATCAAACACCTCCCTGGGGTTTTTTGGATGTGAAGATTCATGCCCTGTGCATAAGAGAGATAGTGGTATTGCTTAGCACTGAAATATCACCATCTCTGGAACAAAATCAAGTTGGCAAGAGGAGGTATTGTTAGAATATAAAAGGTATACTTGGTTTCCTATCCTTTGAACATTATTTCTTTGTGAGGGGGCGTTCTATACCCTACGATAGCTCAGTTTCTTGGAGTCTTTGGTGAGTGATACAATTTCCCTACTCTGGTATCCTGTTTCTCGTAGTAGCCCATAGCAGAGTGACATTCTGTGAGAAACCTTATCAAAAGCTTTTGGGAAACTCTAAATATACCAACTAGATCACTGGTATCCTTGTGTTCACTGACTTCTTCAAGGCACTGAGTGTATTTGTGAGTTAATTATTTCCTCTGCAAAAGCAAAAAGGAAAATTCTGAGTTTTCCTACTGTGTGTTTGTTGAGGAGGAAATGGAGATGACCCACGCTTCTGTGCCCTGTGGAATAGTTTTTACACTTTCAGACCTGTCAGGTCATACACACGCTTTTGCCTGAGACTTGCTTGTCAGTCCCCAGTTTCATTTGTAGTCCTTCGCTACCCCTCATGGTGTGGATTTTAGAAGACAGGGGCTGCTGCTCAGGGCCTGCATGTGCTACATGCAGGTAATCAACCTGCCCCCAGCCAGGCAAGCACATCTATTGAATAGCCAAGGGATTTGGTCATCCTCAGAATCACAGAGTCAGTTAGGTTGGAAGAGAGCTCTGACAGCACTGAGTCCAGCCTATGACCGAACACCACCTTGGCAAATAGACCATGGCACCAAGTGCCGTGTCCAGTCATTTCTTGAACACCTCCAGGAATGTTGTCTCCACCACCTCCCTGGGCAGCCCATTCCAAGGTTTAACAGCCCTTTCTGTAAAGAAATTCCTCCTGATGTCCAACCTGAATCTCCCTCCCCTGGCACTGTTTGAGCCTATGCCCTCTTGTCCTGTTGCTTGTTACCTGGGAGTAGAGGCCAACCCCACCTGGCTACAACCTCCTTTCGGGTAGTTGTAGAGAGCAATAAGGTCACCCCTGAGCCTTCTTTTCTTTGGGATAAAATCCTCATGGAGATGTAACTGCTCTCCGGTGTGTCTGCTCCCAGGGAGCGGTTATTCTCAAATTGTGTGACCTATTGCCTGGAGCTCATGCACAGGGCAGCAGCACAGACTGAGACATAGCTGTGCTTATTTAATACAAAGGCTCCTCTGCCTTGTAGGTCACGCATACTTGCACATATTTCTGCATACCTGATGTAGGCAAATGGCTACAAGCAAATCAGCTGTATTCATGCACACACACTTTGCTAATGAGAGATCCCTAATTGGATTCAGAGAATTTTTGAGCTTTGAAAACATGGACTGTTGTGTTCTTAGGTAGTAAGCTTTGTTACAGCTTCCAGGATTGCTGCTTCAAAGCCATATAAAACTGATTCTATCAGTGATTACTCCTAATTGCCCTTAGCCTTGGAGATGCATGAGACCAAGTGTGAGCTCTGTTCAGAGGTGTTTACTTTTTGATAAATAGCCCTTTTGCAGTTTGATTTAATGGTTTCATTAGGCACAACATGTATGAAGAGATCAGACACAAAATACTTGCATATGTCAATGAGGGACATGGTAAGAGTATTAGAAATTCGCTTAAGGCACAGCCGAGGCCGCCTGCTGCAGTTCTATAAGTGCATGCTGTTTAACAAGGCAATTTGCTATCAATCCATCATTGCAATGTATTAAACTGATCCACTATAAGGAACTGAAAAGTCTTGCTTTCCAACAGTCTAATGAAATGAACACTTACGATGTGTATTTTAAGAAAGGAGATGATTGTGGTACAAATAGATGGATTTCTGTCAGGTGTGTTCTTTGTGGTGAATGCTCTGTGCTAGACCTCTACATAAATATCCTTGTTGCTTTAATTCAGATGTGACATTATCACGTTTCTTTGTCAACTGCTGGGTGAAAAGATATTTTTGCCCAGGTGCTGGCATAGTGTAGTTTTATTGCTACTTAACACTGTTCAGACTTCAGCATCACAAAATGGAGGTGACACTTTATTTTATAGATGTATTTTTAAGCTAAAGTTTCACTATTAATAAACAGATAAATGGGGGTTTATTAATATAAGTGGAATATATGTCATGGTGATCTTTTAGCCTTGTTCTAAGCTATATAGTGTACGTAGAAGTATATAAACTTACATTATAGTTATATTTTGATTTACCTGGTCATTAGTGATAATATCAGATGGAAATTGCTAGCTTTGGATGTGAATAGAATGAGGAAAGGAATTACTTATGCTTTTGATGTTGTCACAGTACTGTCTAGGTTAAAACCTAGTAGGAGGATAAAAAAAGCACTGCTTTGCAATTGAGGCTGTTAGAAGAAATGTGTTTTTCAGCAAAAACACAGGAGGTAACAGTAGGAGTATACAAATATTCCCAGTCAACAGCTTTCCAGTTGATGTGTGCACTTAACTCTTTCCCATATGTTTAATGGTCCTGCTTTCTTGTCCTGTTCCTGACAGCTTTCATCCCCTTTTGTGACTCCAGAGTGGAAGGGCTTTCTGCCGGTGACAGTTCTGTTCTCCCACTCTCAAGTTCAATCTACTGAAATAGAAATAAATCATGTCATTACTACACAGACACTTTCTTTGTCCATGTTCTCATATAGGATTGGTGCAAAGGTTTATTTAAATGGAGGGAAATACAGGTAGCTCCCCTGTCAAAAGCATCTCTCCCAGCTGCAGGCCTGTAGAAGAGTTTGGGCAGAGAACACTGAATACAGGGTTAGTACTTTCAAAGTCTGAAAAACTAACTGGGGTAAGTTTTAGCACAATTGTGATTTAGTATTAGCCCCTGATTAGAACAGCCAGCAAGCTCCAGCATTCTTTCTACTCTTCTGGAACTGGGAGCAATACCTATGTTATAAATATGTTATCCTGCATGTTTTATGATATCTGAATTCCCCATTAAACTGACCTTTCTTTTTGTTTCAGATTAGACTAGGACTCATGACTTACAGCAAGAAATTCTGTAATCTTCTGGCATTTGCCAGATTCAGATTTGACTGTCGGTATGTTTAAGAACTTTCCACTGTCTCTCACACTGGCACAGATCTGTTTGGGTGATGGGCCAAAATGTGGGGGCTCTAGTACATGACTAGGGTGATTAAAACATCTGCTCAAAGAGGATGCTGTTTTCCCTTCATGTCATTGTTAATACTGGCAACCTCAGAAATGCAAGCCTCAAGTTTGCTGATACTCCAGGGCATTTTCTTTCTTGTTTTCCAAGCATTAACTCTGAACTGCTCCCAGTGGTAGCTGTTTAGGGAGATGACTGTCCCAATAACTTAAATGCTATGATTTTGAAGCTTAGCTATTACACATTTCAGATATTGTCTCAGAGGGATAAGGGAAGATGAAGAAGGCTTATTACTCATCGTCAAAAAATGATCCTTTCACCAGATTTATGTATATGAAGAAGCTCATGAAAGGGCCTGGCACTTCATTTCAGGCTGTCACAATCCATAGTCAAGGAGATGCTCTTGCAAAGGTTGCACGGATTTTTTTCTCTCTGAAGGAGATGAGACAGACAAGAGCTGATGAAACATGAATATTCAGTGCCACATCAACCAACTGACCTACAAGTAAAGCTGGTGTCTATCTATAGCAGTTTCTAAGGACAGGAGATGACAAAACAGTTTAGATCATCTGCTTTCCAAGGCTGCCAAATCGTGGCTTGCTGTGTAGTTAGTTGAAAGTTGGCTGAACACTGAAGCTGGTATATATCTATATTTTATGTATTGAATATGATCTCTAGTTGTCTGCACTGGTTATGGTAGTGGGCAAACCAAATCAACCATGCTGTCTTGGGCAAGACATAGATTTATGTGCCTACTGCTAAAACACCATCAGAGAATGCCCATGGCTGCCTGTAGCAGTCCTGCATCAAATGTAATGGTTGACTTTTATTCCACTGAGATGCTTGTGTAATATCTATATCCAAAATACTGAATGCTTTCAACTTGATTACAAATTTGTATTGAGGTAACTGCAGTACAGTCTCTGTCACTAATGTCACTTGCGGCACATCCCTGGGTTTAGTATATGTTAAGGGTGACAAAACATGGCAGTTTTGTTAGCTGTCTAACTGAAGAAAATATTCTCTGCTAGGCACTATGCAAAGGTGTGTTTCAGGTGTAGTTTGGAAGTGCTGGCAAGGAGATTCAGTAACGTATTCTGTTCCCCTGAAAATATTGTAGAAGCCATTAGGTAACAGGTGTTTTGTAGATTGTACTTCTGAGAATGTGAAGCAGCAGGTTGCTTTAATGTTTTTTTCTTAAGTGAAAATAAAATTGCCCGTTGTTTTTTTGAGTGATTTTAATCTTAAGGTTGATGGGCAGATCACAGTCTTATTTTTCTCAAGATTAATGGTTTTCCTTACCTGTCTTTCTCCCCACTCTGTTTTTCCTTTTCCCTCCATCATCAGAGCCAAATTACTAAAACATAGCAGATGCTGGCAAACAGAAAGAACCCTCTATGCATTTAATTTATCATGAAAGTACTAAAAATTTAGCTTTTTAGTTCAGTTAATCATTTTGACAAGTTGACAGTACAATGTATCATCACTAGACAGATGACAATGCTAATCCTGCAGCCGATTCTCAAGGGAGATTTTTTATTGTAAAAATTGACATATATTGTATCAAGACGAACAAAATACATTTAGGAAAACAGCAATTTGCTACTTTGTGCAGTTCAGAGTTTCTGCTAATCTCAGCTGCCTCAGAATTTGGGCTCTGGTAAAGCTGGCAGGTCCGTCATGTCAGCCCCCACTTCTGAAGCTGTTGAGATGTTGACAGATAGGAAGTACACAGATGTTTGCTTAATGGTTATTTCCCCGGGGGCTCCTGTCAGAGCTGTTCACAGGAAAATAGGGGAATTACCTTGGAAATTGCTAACTCACTTTCACTAAATGATGGACCAGTGCATTACAAAACAAATTTGACCAGTTTGTGAATGTATGAAGTGCCTCCAGAAAGGGAGGAAACTATTCCTTGCGTAAATGCTGTCACACATCTGTTGCTCTGTCAAACCACTTATATTGCTGCTGGCAAGGACCAATGAAAGGTCCGAAGCTTCAATTGAAGGAAAACATTCTCTAAAGCATACATGACCTGTTGAGTGGTCCTGGACAGAAGATAAATAGACAGGAAGCAATTCCTGAGAAGAGATGCAGGGTAGGGAGAGAGAAAAAAAAGACACAGTTTAACTTTTAGTGCATTTAAGGTGCATTTTCAGAAAACATGGTAATCAGCATGGTATAAGATTTGAGCAAAGAGAAATTCTAATTATCTCCTCATGTGATGACTGTGTGTCCTGCAGTATGAGATCTGGTAATTCAGATATGGCGGTCAGAAGACCAGGCTGCAGGCTGAGGGAACTGAGGTGGCTGTACCTCGTGTGCAGTCAGGTGTTGGAAGCATCAGGTGGCAATATATTACACTGCTCATTTTGCTCCATGGATTACATGCTGGTCCCACATGTTGAGACGCTTTTAACTCATGTGCAGACTTTGAGCTTTCACTCTTTTTTTCATGGTATTAGCATTTTTTTTCTGTGACCTGTGTAAGAAACACACAGCCCAAGCTGAGGAGAATGTCTAAGCCTTGTTGATGCCTGCCATATGGTGACTTACCCTGAGATATATTTTTCTTGATTTATCTGATATATTCAACATCACAATCCCCATATGGTTATTGCTTCTTTGTGTATTCCAGTGGGAGTTTTATCTTTTGCTTTTCAAAGGTTTGCCACAGAGACTATCCTTAGTGTAACAGTGTTGTGTGCCTGGTTCATCTAATTATCCTCCCTAGTTAGGGATGCATCAGGGGGTCCGTGTTAAATCAGGGAAGGCTTTTAAAGTTGAATATCTGAATACTGTTGAATATCTGAAAGCTGTAGAAACACTGAAGACTGAACAGAAGGCATCATATATTGGAGTGTTCAGTCAGCTTTGAGTTCCTACTGACTGCAGCTGACTGTGACTTGATTTTCATGGCAAAACTTGGGGAATCACAGTAAAGAGAAAGCCCCTTTCCCTGAAGTGAACAGAAATATTTTCTTCCATTACAGCAAACTCACAACATATTACATGCTCAAGGATCTTTGCTGAGCTGTTACGGTAATGTAGTACTGCATCATAGTTCCACCCATGCAATATCAAAATATGAGGGTTTCTTAATGATACTGGCAAGTAAAATATATCTAGGTGGTCAGAAGATCTTTAATAAAATGACAATAAAAAATTAAAAACATATTGTTCATAATAAAGCACTTGTCCTGCTGTCTTAATTACCTTTTCCTTAAGATGATGCATTTTCACAGCATCATACTGGGGGCATGCCCATCTTAGTGAGGAGTGATTTTAGTGGGAGAGAACAAGTGCATCAGGCTGCTTAAGGCTCACCTTGTAGAGGGCACCATGAGTCAGTGAAGCCAGCAAGTCACACTGACAACAAATCCTAAAAACAGATTTCAAAGAAACGCCAGCTAGGTGGGACTCTTCAGGACACGAGCAACACACTGCTCCTGTGCTGTGGTTTCCAGTGCTGGAGAAGAACCAGTTCAGACCACACTTGAAAAATAAACCCAAACCAAAGCAGATGCTGCTTTTTCTAGTTTCTAGTAGACATATTACAGGATGTATGATTTATTGCATGACGTGTTTATCATTCAGACCTCAATTAGATTTTTCTATACTTAGCATAGTAATAAAGGAATTTCACATAATGTCTTATTACAATGGCATCAGATATTGGAAAGCAACACTGTGCAGAATGTCACTGTGATTTTGAGAGGTACATTGTGAGCATATCATCAAGATTAATTAATGGTAACAACATTAGTATGAGAATTTTATTACCCTAGCTACCTTTGGATTATCATTCATGTGGTTTCAAAACAGAAAATGCATAAACAATCATCATGCTCTGCCCTTCAACACCATTCTTCTTCCTTTCTCCCTCCTCTTGTTAGTCAAAATCAGGCAGATGGTGTGTATCCAAAGGCTGTAAATTAGGAGAATGTATAGTCTAAGGTCTGTAGCATATGCAGTTAGTTATATCTATATCTATATCTATATCTATATCTATATCTATATATATATATAATATATATTTTATATATATATAATATCTATAGTTATTGCCTACTCTCTATAGTAATTCACACCTCTAAAGCATCAAGTTCAGTAGCATTAAGATAAAACAACTAGGAGTAGTACAGTAATAAGAACAATTTTTAAAAAACATTCAGGGCATTTTTCTAGTTATAGATATTGGTTGTACAACTCCTACCACCATATAAGTCTGTCTAACTCTTCACCCACTTTTCTAGATAAATGAGGTTACAGATGGATGAATATATGCACATGTATGTACAAGAAAACGCAGATGCACATAGACACACACACAAGAGCTTTGTTTGATCCAGCTCCCCAGCTCTCTCAGCTAACTGGCAAATGCATATCAAAGCTCTAACAAAGTAGCTAAACAAGTAAATATAATGTCTTACATTTATCCACAGTTTCTACTCTTCCAGTTCTGCCTTGCACAAGTCACAGCGTTTGGCGATGTTCTCGCATGGATTGAACCTCTATAAATCCTGGAGTTCTGTAGTAAAGTTACACTGCAAACACCATGCATTACACACTGAACCAAGAGTTGTACAAAGAAGCTGCAGTATCAGCTGCTTTCCTGCATTGCTTGTATTTATAGGGAGCGTTCATCAGTGATAGATAAGGTCAGTTTGTGCTGCTCTTGTCATTGCCCAGAGACCAAGAATCCAGAGATTTCTCAGAAATTCTTTCTGCTGTCCCATGACACCTGGAAAACAAACTCCGGCAAAAACAATCAACAGAATGGCACAGCCAGTATGGATTCTGAGCACATTTGAGAGAGACTTCTGATCTTATAACTGCACAATTGTCTGGTTTAAACTATTTACACTTAAATAAAACTGTTGTGGAGTCGTCTACCTTAGCACTCAGGTACCATGGCTATGAGCACTACCTGTGCTCAGGTACTTTAGATAGGCATAGTGAAAAGTTAGTTAAGCATTAAACATAGTAAGAGTGTAATGTTAAACTCTGTGGCTGAATCAACATTAGTTTCTATAATGTAGATTTACAGAAAATGCTTGGAATAAAACCCTATGTAAAAGCAGAAGGAACTACCAGTGTCCCAGCAATAGCAAAATTGAGCAATAGCAAAATATGTCTGAGGAAGACAGAAGGCAACCTCATTCCCAAAGAGCTGGTATTTTCACAAGACAAAGGGATCTTTAAATACTCAAGAAACACTATAAAAAGCATCTCAAGCTAATAACTTCAGTTCTTAAATGATGTCTGTGCTGAAAACAGTGTTCTGTCAGTTAGCTGGGTTGAGAGATTTGCCTCTACTTATGCAGGTGGCAGCAGATCTGTATAACTAAAATATAATAAAACCATTATGCTTATGGCCTTTATGCCTATGGCCTTTGCTCACAGTTCACCCCCCTGCAACCTCTAATTCCAAGTCTAACCCTGAATCCTTTGTATGAGAAGTAAAAGCTTGTGGAGATGTGCAGTGATGAATGTCTATGAAATACAGAATCATTGTCATATTATGTTTTCTTCTTTTTAATATGGTTTTAAAGTCACCTGAGTATATTCTAAAAACCTCTTCACTGAAAAATACATATTTTGTATGATTCCTGTCTCAAGGAACTTGAAATGTAATTTCAAACACAAAATAATAGGTAAGGTCACAAAACAATAGGTGTGGGCAAAGCACTTAAAGTGAGTGCAAGCAAATTTCTTGCACCTCAAAGGAGGTTGTAGCAAGGTGGGGGTCAGTTTCTTTTCCAGAGTAACAAGTGATAGGAAGAGAGGAAGTGGTCTCAAGTTGCTCCAGGGCAGGTTTAGACTAGCTGTCAGAGAAAATTTCTTCACCAGAAAGGTTGTCAAGAGTTGTAACAGGCTGCTCAGGGAAGTGGTTGAGGCACTGTCCCTGGAGGTATTTAAAAGACATGTAGATGTGGCACTTAGGGACATGGTTTAGTGGTGGATTTGGCAGTGCTGGGTTAATGGCTGGACTTGATGATATTAGAGGTCTTTTCCAACCTCAATTGTTCTATGATTCTAAATGGGAATAAGAGACTGGATTATAGATCTAAAGGGACTTTTCCATATGTCTATTATACGAAAATAAAAACAATGGAACAGCAGAAAACATCGGATCCTCTTTTCATTGTTGTTTTAAATTTAGAAAAAGCAACTAGTGTATTCCATCCTGGCATGACCTGTCCTCAGAATTTGCTGCAACTATCCTACAACATAAAAAGTTTAACTTGTGTTGCTGCTTTGGTTTTTTTATTTCATTCATACCTCAAGGCAAAAGAGATTGTAACAGCTGTCTTTCATATTCCACCATTGTAAATCTGTGATTCCATTACTGTTCTGTCTAAATTTCCCTTTAGCAGGATTTAGATTACCAAACAAGACTTACGGCTTCACTACACAAAAAAATCAAGGCATTTGCAGAAGTCTGTGTATTTATACGGATGCTCAGCCTGGTGTGCTTCCACTAAACACCACAACTAAGTTCAGTCTGGGACATTGGATTTACAATTTACGTGAGTGGGAAGGAACATCTGTGTTAAGGGGAAAAACTGCTGAGAGGGGGAGGAGAAACCAACAAGTGAAACAGGGTATCTTAAATTAATAAATCCTAAGATCCGCACATTTTTGTCCGCTTCTTCCTCGTTCTTGCTAGTGATTTTTTAGACAATCATTTTGTGGCATGTATTTGGTGCAGGTGTCCCTTTGGCACTGGTCTGTGTCAGGAAAGTGGCTATCCCACAATATAACCAGTAAGGATCAATACAGTGACAAACTGCTTTACTGTGAATGGAGAAGCTAAAACATAACTAATAAACTTTGCTGAAAGGCTGACAGGGTTGACAGTCACTAAATTCAGGGGAGCCTTGGATTTCGTGAGAATCTTTTTGCCTGACAAGTGCTCTAATTAATGATTAAAGGAAACGAGGAGGCTCAGCACATGAAGCAGAGTGGGAGGAAACTGCTGGCATGATTAACAGCTGGTAAAAATATGAATTTGAAATCACTGCACTGTTCTGCATGTTCATGGCCTCTTTTTACTCATTCTGTACAATTCTTTTGATGACAGAAAGAGAAGAGACTAACTAAACCACCAGCTAGCCTGATATCTGTAGGAATTAATTTCGTGGCCTCTGATCAAAAAGCACTTCTCTAATGATTGTAGCAAGGAAGGAGCAAACAAGTATTGCTCACTACCATGTCAGGGCAGGAATTTACAATCCCTAGGACTGTACTA